TAAAAAACAGAAATAAAAACAACGAAAGGAAAAAAGAACTCTTCGAACGATGACAATGTTCGTCTATATATTTATCTGTATCAACGGAATAAAAAGGTGAAGGATGACAATGACCGGAAAGGAAAAGAAAAGTCATATATGTATAGTCATACATGTGTGTAGTAAAATGGACGAACGAAAAAGGAATATCACCTGAAAAGGAAACGAAACGAAAATATATATATTTATGTAACTGTGAAGACTGATAGCCTGTAACAATCATCCCCGCAACGAAAAATGTGTGTCCTCACACAGAAAAGTTCAAAAGAAGGAGAATGATAATGATGCAATAGTTAGGTGTGAGATTTTTTGGTTCACTAAACATATAAAACCCAGAGAAAAATAATCAGTAACTGTGCACGACGTAAATGTGTTGTTTGATGAGCACGATCGATTAGTTCATCTAATGTTTCAATGGATGTTCGATGATGTGTATGATGACAATGGTGGGACGATGGTTGTTGAAATGGTATACATTTACTAGTGTAACATAATTGTTTATAGTGATCATTTTCAATAACTTTTTTGGTTTACATTTTTGTGTTAATTTATCTAATTTGTGTAATGGTGTTACATAATATGATTTTTTTGAATGAGAAAGCATATATGAGTTAGAATGTTGAGAAGATCGAGAAAAATTAAACATCTAAAAGGGAAATTGATAGATAATACGACTCGAACTCAAGGGAATGATTCCAAAGTCGAATCCGCATTATGAAACACGAAAATCCTGCGAGGAAATTCATCTGTAAGGAATCGCAAGTATTAATGATAAGAAGGATAATGGCAATGATAGCCGACAAATATTCTTGTATAACACATATCAATGAATATTCAACCATGGTTGAATTATCATTTCCATTATAGTCGGTAATGAAACAATGATTGGCCAGTCATCATCTCCACCGGTTCTACAAATGTGTGTTTTTTGAAGAGAAATGCTGCTGTCAAAATCATAACAATCGGTCTAAATTCATGAATAAAAGAGCGTTTTCATAATGATCACAATGATGATGACAACTTTCTGACGATTTGAGTATACTATCATATTTCATTGAATGTTTTTCCGTTCAAATAACGATACTATAGAATCAACGGTTACCTGTTTGATCACTGTTGTCTTTTTTATGTGTTGTACGATATAAGTTTTATCTGTTAACCGTTGAATAATTTTAAATGGTCCCTCATGACGAATATCGCATTTGTGTCGGCTATGTAACGATTTCACGAGGACTAAATCATTCGTATTGTATGATGGATTCGATCGATGGTCGTCAGAGCGAGATTTATATTTTTCTTGGTTTGTTTTTATACTTCCCTTCGCTTGTTCGGTTAGTGACGATAAGTATTGATTTAATTTGCTAACATGCTCAGAGTCTTGTTCGAGCGATACCATTTCGTCTTGATGGTCAAATGGTAGTACGGGTAAGCGTCCGAACATCATTTCGAACGGGATTTGTTTTGTCGTTGCATGGATGCTGGTGTTGTAGTTAAATGTAACAAATGGTAACTGTTCGTCTCAATCGGTTTTTCGTTCATTCGATAGTGTGACTATTTTTGGTTCCATTGTTGAATTGTATCTTTCTATCTGACCGTTCGTTTGTGGATGATAGGGTGTAGAATGTAAGTGTGTAACGCCGATTTCTTTTAATAAATTGTTCATCATCATCGATGTGAAGTGGCTACCATTGTCTGTTAAAATACAACGCGGTGTCCCATACTTGCAAATAACATCTTCTTTGATAAATCGAGCGGCTGTTTCTGCCGTACAATCACGGACAGCTCGTGTAATAACGAATTTTGACAGTACATCCGTAAGGGATATAATATATTTATTGCCTCGCTGTGTGGTGGGTGTGATCGGTCCGTGAAAGTCCATTGTAAGTAATTGCCAGACTCCGGACGGTGGTTTTATTGGTTTCAATGCCCCAGGTGGCTTACATCGACATGGATTATATTGCGCACACAATAAGCATGATTGTACGTGATTCTTAATATCTTGTATCATGGATGGCCAGAAATAACGTTGTTTAATTTTTGATATCGTTCGGTCACGACCAAAATGGGCTCCGTTTCCACGTGTATCATGATAAATTTTTATAATGTCTGCGCGTATTTGTCCTTTCGGTACGAATGGAACTAGTGGAGACGATTTTCTCATTAACATATTGTCTCTGAGAAAATATTTCGGATTATCTGTGCTGCCTGTGCGTCCTGATGTTGTAATTCTTTTAATTGTCCGTGTGTAAATGGGACAATTTGATTCGGATCATGGAGCTTCAAGTTTTGAATATCACCTTTTGCAGATAGAATGAGTAATTTATCATCGACGTTTGTAGTGGTCCTCGGGCGGTCTTGTGCAACACAGGAGCGATCGACGGGTGTGTGATCATTCGTCTTCTGTTGCAGTGGATCACAGGTCTGATCCGTCGCATAACTATCAGCCCTCTTATCATGTTGTTCTGATTGCGCTCGGGTGACAACGGGTGCTACGATCTGTAGTGGTGTAGAATTTTCGATTTGTGTCCCTCGGGACATAGTTGGAAAATAATCATCTTCGTCGTTCGTTGCATCATCGACAGGCGAACGTGATAAATAATCAGCTACTGTATTGTGTTTGCCCTTAATATAATGAACGGTGAATTGGTATTGTTGTAATTTTAAACGCCATCGCTCGCATTTTGAATTCGGTTGGTGTTTTAAATTAAATGGTAACAATGGTTTATGGTCTGTTTCAATAACAAATGGACGTCCATCAAGATGTTTATGCCATTTTTCAATGGCTGATATGATGGCATAACATTCTTGTTCGGTGGCAGGCCAATGCATCTGCGCGGGTGTTAACTTTTTGGATAAATATGCAACCGTAAGGTCACCACTGGAATGAGTCTGCAGTAGGACAGCTCCTATTCCAACTTTGGATGCATCGGTTTGTATCTTGAATGGTAATTGTTCGTTTGGAATGCATAATACAAGATCGGTAGTTAAGATTCGCTTCAGTTCGTTGAATGCGTTGAGTTCGTCATCGGATAAAGTAACGGGTAAAGATTACGACTTTTTACATCGTTGTTCTTTCGTGGTCGGTGCGAATTTATGTAATGGTTGGGCTATCTTCGTGAATCGGGGTATAAATTTTCGGTAGTATTCAGGTGCCCTTACGAATCGAAAGGCTTCTTTCGCTGTCCGTGGGAGCGGAGTTCCTAATAATGCGCGGATGTTATCGAAATTAGGTCGAATATTACCGTGTTCAACGCAATGTCCGAAGAAATTGATAGTCGTCCTGGCTGTGTGACATTTATCGACATTTAATCGAAAATTCGCTTCATTTAGGCGATTTAATATATCGTCGAGATGTAATAAATGCTGTTCGAATGTTTGTGAGTATATAATCACATCGTCTAGATATGCTAAGGAATATTGCCAACGTGTTGGTCCTANGGGTTGAATGCTGGCGGTCCATTTGTAACGCCTTGAGGTAATACGGTGAATTGAAGATGTTGATCTCGGGTGGAGAATGCTGTTTTTGGATGATCTTTCGGATCAAGTCCAGCTTGAAAATAACCTGACTTCAAGTCAGTCGTGGTGTAATATTCAGCTTGTGCTAAATGATCGAAAATATCATCGATTCGAGGAATTGGGAATGCATCTTTTGTGGTTATACTGTTGAGCTTTCGAAAATCGATACAAAATCGCAGAGATCCATCCTTCCGAACGAGAACGATAGGTGATGAGCACGGAGAGGTGGATTCCTCGATTATTCCTTGTTTTAACAATTTATTAATTTCATCACGCTGTATTTGCTCATCCTTATATGAGACTCGATATGCCGGAGTATATACGGGTGGATGATTTCTTGTTTCGATAGCATGACGAACTGTTATTTTGATTATAGATGGTTGACGCAGGTCAAATAATTGTCCGTGTCGCCATAGAATTTGTTGTACTTGTTGTCGTTGTTTCGGGTTCTCGATATGTCGTGTCAACCTCTGGATCTGTTCGCGGATATCTGGCGGAAAACATTGTTGACGAAGGTGTTTCTGTAAATCGTTACTGGATAAAAAGGTTTCTTGACAAACATAACACCGATGTACACGGTAATCATCTTGTTTTGCTGTGTAGGAAAAATCCGCCGGACGGACTTTGCATTCCTCCGAAGATGGCGAGTCACAGGAACGACTCATTAAATTATGGTCATTCCTCCCGTAGGCGTCCTCATTAAATTATGATCATTCCTCCCGTAGTTCATGGAAGCCGACAATAATTCCACAATTCGTAGTTGTCAAAATTATTGCATGAGATGCTGATCGTGCCGAGTAGCGATCGGTTCTGTTGGAAAATAGGACAAAATAGACCCAGGTAGGTTAGGGCACTGGAGTTGCAAAGTCATTCATCCTTGCTACATTACAATCGATCCATAATCGTCGCTAATTAGCGTTGACGGTTGTGGTTTCAATTGATGAATTGTGTTTTTAGCCAAATGAATATGTTTAGGACAGTACGTTGTACTGATCCAGTAACCGGGATTATCTTTGTCAAGTATCATTTCTGGACGAATACCACAACCCCACTGAGCGTTCCTTTAAAGAATAAAGTCGAGCAGCAAATAATGATCATATGAAGACTAGCGAAGAACCTTTTTATCATTTCAAGTTCAAACTTGTTCAAACTTGATTTTTCATAAGCAGTTTTTCGTGGAGAATGAGAAAAAAATAGTTTTGAAAAATGAAAATAACGATAAAGATGAAAATTTTGCTTATTTTTAAAAATTTCACTCATTTTTGTTTATTATTAAAATAACAATATTTTGAAATTTTTTCCCAAGAATATCAATTTGTAAAGACTAAATTTATACTTTTCCTATGTAACTCGAAGAGCTGAGAAAAACGAAAGAAAATCTTGCTTAACTTTAGAATTTCCCGCACCAAATGACTTTGTTGATGAAAAGAACGTAAATAATGCTGTGCCATAAATCAACCATGTATTTTCGAATATTCGTCTTTCTAGCAATATCTGATTTTTTAGTTCTGCACTATCAGTATCATGTTCTTGTAATAGTATGGAACGTATTGTATTGTTATCTGCTTCACAAAAATTGTCAAAACCCGTATACACATGTGTTAAATCTGATACATAACGTAATATTAATTCAATAGCATATACATTCTTCCCATCGAAATGAATATATTTTTGGTTTACTAATGAATTATTAGTAACAAAACGTTTTGATCCTTGGATATAACTGTTACAATGATATTCGGTGTTGCAGCAACGAGCAAAGAACAATACATCACTCTGAGCACAGTTGTTGGTAAAGACGCTAACCTTTTCTTTAAATATGATCTGTAATGGTTTTTGACAGAACAGGCAAATATTTACAAACTGTTTGATTGTATGCACTAAAGGTATAAACATAAGACAGAAATTCATCTAGCGCAGTTGGTTTTTCATCGTCATCCCTAAAAGAACCTAATTTTCTTGAAGTATCGAGAAAAAGTTCTGTCAAGCTGTAGATTTTTATGGATGTCGGATTGGATTTTGCGCACAACTAGCCTTGGGATTCAAAAATTTTTTCCAGAGTTCATTTTAATAAAATTGGATATATCTGTTCGATAGAGCAGTAACAGTTGTCTACAGACAAAACTTTTATCTTTTCACCTCTCTAAAGGTAACGAGTAGAAGACGTTTGAAAAACCGTAGCAATATGAATGAAAGAAAACCATGCTTTGTTTTGATTGTTAAATATGGAAAACATTTTTAAATACAAACATACTTATACTCGAAATGAGGTTTAGCTTATTAACTATCCAGTTATACAAGAATTAGATCTTCATCCCCTTTCACCTTTCAGTGAAAAGGTGTCGATTGATCATCTCGAAAAACTAAAACTTTCGACTCAATTTTTCCAAATATTCCCGTCAGAGTTTGTCAAGCTTTCCCCCAAGAGTCTCTTTTATTGTACTGTTAATCCTGAGAATATCAAAGTCGTCATGCTGAAGAAATTGGAGATTTGTGTGTTGAAAAATGTATTAGCAATCCTTAATTTTGGCCGGTATTTGACCGCTATCAGCAGCTAAAATGACTTTTCCTAAACAAAAATACCATATTCAGGATCAGCGTAAAAAACTATATCGAAACATGTATTTGATGTCTTTTCCTTAATAATACTCATTTTTTTAAAAAGTCACCTCAGATCATT